AAATCAGCCTGGGTCATTATTCTGAAATCCTTCATTTTCCTCCTTTGCATTTTTGCTGCCGCTTTTCTCCCTTAGCAGAGGCACCAGTGGAAATACCCCTGAACACCTCCTCCTTTGGGGTTTTCACAGAGCGACCACCACCCACTTGATGCCACACAGACATGGGAGGTCTGGACAAGATATCCCCTGCTTTTTAGACCCTCCCATGGTTCGGGGAGGAGCAGCAGTGTCCTGTGTTAGACACAGCCTAAACTAATGGGTCTGGCCTAGGCCTAAACATCTCAGCAGGCACCCAGAGGGGGCCAGGGGCACCTGCCAGATGCAGAGACCCTCGAGCCTGCAGTGTGGTGCCTTCCATCACACACTTCTCACAGGTGCTGGTCACTGCGTGGGGAGGCCAAGGTCTCTGCTACGTGGTGGTGTGTTGCTAAAGGACCTCTTGGTCCATCCACACTCTCTAAACAGCACAGAAAAGGACAGGACAGGGCCTGTCTGAGCTCGCTGTCATCCTGGGTGCACGCACCCATGTGCAGCTGGAACGTTCCCATTGAGTGCAAGGGGCCTCTGCACTTTGGTTGCTGCGCTGCGGGCAGAGGACAGGCTTTCACATCCAAAATGGTCACTGCGCTTGTTCTAACTCAATAGTGGTGAAAAGTGAACCTCTGCTGAATTGTCTAACTTATGGATCCACCAAGTTAATTAAGCATGATTGATAAGCCACTGTCAGAATGAACCATAGCCCAGGCTTATCTGTGTGGTCCCCGTTTGTGTGTTTAAAGACTGATAGGAGAGTCAAGAAAAAAATCCAGACAAAAAGATAAGGCTGAAGATGCATGGTGATGTCTTGGAAATTTAATTTAGCAGGGAAAATATCCCTTTTAAAACTACATTATTAACTGCTGTTAAGTGAGAGCCATTTGGCCTTCACGTGCTGCAGATGAATCCGGCCAGGTTGCGTCAGAGCTCTGGGGTGCTCGGTGTGTGCCAGCAGCCAGGCTTCTTCCCGGGTGCACTGGGTGCATAAAATCCTCATGATTGCTTTGCATGGGGCTTGTCAACAGAGGCTGCAGCTGGGTTATGAATCACGTTAATCTGTTATGTGAGCTGGTTTCACACCAATGTCTCTGGAGGGAAAATGCTGGAAAGCTGGGGAGGGAGAAGAGGGGACGTCAGACGCAGCCACCCTGGTTCCGGATGGAAATGTTTCTCCCTCTCTGCCAGCTAATGAGTAGTCCTAATTTAATCAAATGAAGTGGCCAACATGAAATGTGCGTGTTTTGTTTCCACATCTGAGGCTAACATGTCCACAAGTCATAGTCTGAAGTGATTGGGGGTGTTATCAGTCACACAATCTGACATTTTGCCAAAAGGTCTCCTTTGTCTCTTTTCTGATGTGTGAAAACAAGGGATGCTATTTCTTGTGTGCTGTAAAGCAAAACTGGGTTGCAGAGTCTGAAGGAGCCATTAAATGGAGGAAACAGAAGAAGGAAAGAAAAATCAAGACCTCTTCCTTCCGATAATCACACAAATACTGGAACTCTAGGGACATTTAATGGAAAATATTTTAGGAAGCACCTGAAAAACTGCCATGGAAATTTCCCAGCCCAGCCATCCTATTGTCTCCTACATCCTTTACTGGGACAATCATGAGAAAAATCAAAGATTCAGGGCATAATTTGGTATTTTTGTTTATTTTGTATTTATTTATTCAGTTGCCATTAATAACAATAAAAATGAAATTACCCACCCCTCGCTCTGGCTTCCCTTGATGCTTAGTTAAAGTACACAATTATGCAAAACAGGCAGGCTCCCACTGCATGTTATCCTAAGCAGCAAAAGCAGAAACCAAACACAAGCCCCTCCACGGAGACAAATTACTCACCCATCAAAGGAATTACTCACTGTGGACAAGAAGACTTGTACAAGGCTGATTTTTAAGTGTGCAGATGAATGCTGCAGCCGGTAAGAACTCGTGAGTCAATGAATCTGCAGCAATGGAAAAGATAAGGAGAGGGATTATTTTTTTTGTTCAAAGTGGAAAGGGTTGTGCTGTGTGCTGCTTGGAAATGCAATGCCCTTTGCTCTTCCTTTCTCAGATCAGGAAGGTGTTCACTCCTGTGTTTAGCTCTAAGCTCACAATTAGCCCTCCTGAAATGAAAAGAACGATTTGTTTTCTTTCCCAGGGCTGCATTGTTTGACATCTTGCAAAGACAACTGCTCTCTGCCAGAGTGCAATGAGAGCCAAGGTACAATAGATGCCTTTTCCTCCCTCAGCGCTCTGCCCTTTCTCTCCTCCCATGCACAGAGGCAGGGGTCTGCGGCCCACCCTGCAGCGTGGCCGGTGTGCGGCTCTGTTGGCATCTGCCAGCATCAGGATTGATTGACGTGCTGTTGAAAACCATCCCCTCCTGGTCCTGAGAAGCCAGCCCGGCCCCTCAGCTCTTCCCAGCAAATTGCGACTCTGGCCTTGCAACAAGCATCTCCCCACAGCAGCCTTCCTGCAATCCCGGTAAACAACGTATGTGAGGAAGAGCTGGGGAGGCTGCTGTAAAGGCACTTGCCGCTTTCAAACCCTGGCTCCCGCACCGTGCAGACCTGCCGTTTCGGCAAGCAGAGCTCACCTGTCGGCAGCTGCGCGGAGGCTGAAACTCAGCATGTGCGGTGATGGCTGCAGGGTACCGCAGAGTCCCTCTGGGTGAGGGTGATGGGATGCAGCAGCAGCAGAGCGCACCTGGGCGTCTGGCTGCTCACCTCATGCTGGAGCCTATCCTCTGGCTTGCAGGCGATATTCACATTGTCTGTGTCTAGCACCTTTACTGAGTGCTATGTACACACAATGATAACCAAAGCTGTGCTGGGACCAGCTTCCTCGGTTACTTGGCGTTTCCTAAATCCATTCATTCTTCAGTTGCTTCTTCTGAGCTTCCCTCCCCCCTTCCTCTGCAGGCTGCATCCATGGAGGATGTGCACATGAAAGGAGGGAAGCATTGGCCCCTTAGGGAGGAAGTCGACATTGGCTTTTTTTGTCTGATTGTGGAACAAAAAGCTCCAGCCAGGAGCTGTTCTGATTAGGTTTTGGTGTAAAACAGATGCAAAGTTTCATGCAACAAGTGGCACAGGGAGACTGACGTATTTTTACATGCTGTCTTTCTCCCTCTCTTGCATGGGATCAGAGCGATTAGATCTGAAGCTGATTAAGTGTGAGACCCCAGCACAATAGCAACAGTATTGGCCACCAGTTTCTTAATGATTGTCTGGGAGCTGGAGTGCAATGTTCCTTTGAAATACAGGCCACAAACAAGCTCTTCCCATTTTTTACACCCCTAACCCTTTCTATCTTAGAATGAATGAAACCAGGTTTGCTGTAGTGCCAGATCTGGAACCAGTTAACTCCAAAACCTTACATGAACATCCAGCTGCAAGAGTTCCAAGCAAGCAGAAAGCTAGCGAGTGAAGGAGGTTGAACAATTGCACTCATTTGCCAGCCTTGTTTTCATTGAAATAGTTTAGCCAGGGCCAGCTGTGTTACTTGGGTTCTCTGAGGTATAATTTAGGCATGAGATGTTTACAACCAACCTCATTTGCATCAACCGTGAGGAAAACATGGGATCTATTGGATATTTCAACTGCTGGGTTAATTACTGGTTTAACCACTAATATTTACTCAACCTTCTGCATCTCAACAGCCACTGGCCCAGATCCCGCCCCTCTTGCCACAGTGCTGATGCCACAGATTTCATACAAGTGGGAGGATTGCGGGACAGGCCCTGTGGGTGCGGGTCTAGCTTTGCAAAGCAGAATCAGTGCCAGAGGTGGGTGTCTAACTGAAAGCCCTAGAAATGTTAGGTCTGCTGGGAACAACACACGCTTCCTTTTTGCAGTCCCAGAAATGAGCTTAAACAAAGACACTGTTTACCCAGGGCCACGCTCTGTCATCCCTGCTAGTGATGACTATTGAACTGCTTAGCAAACAGCTTGATAAAATCAGTGGGATTGTGAGATAGGAAAGCTCTCTGTGTGTGAGGAGCTCAGGGACTGGCCCTCAGACTCTCTTGTGAGCACTGCACAGGGAAGTCTAAACACTGCTAAGCAGGGCTAAAATGAGCAATGCAATTGATTGACAGTTTTGATTGAAAACAGAAGTAAGTTTTGCTTCTTTTTTTAAACCCAGGCTTAAATAGACATCACTTAGAAGAAGGACATCGATCGAAAGATAAACCCAGTGCATGAGTGGACCCTGAAGGTGAAAAGTACCATTATGCAGGTTAAAGGAGCCTGCCCTTGTGGGACAAGCTGTTCTCTGTGCAAAAGGACAGAGAGCACCGGGAGGGAGATAAGAAAATTATGAGGTCAGATTCCAGGTTATGGAAACCTCAGTGGCTAGCTCTGTTTTGAGCATCTCTGTGTGGGTTGCAGGCAAGAGCCTAATGAGTGCCGGCTGTGATAGTTTTGGTGCTACTGCACCCCTTCTCCAGGAACTGACCCGAACGTGTCAGCTAATTCCTATGCACGAGCAGCTCCGTGGATGGGAAGAAATGTTGGGTATTTAGCTGCCCGGCCTGAAAGGGCTTGCTGGCAGTGAGGAAAAACGCTCCATGTTTCATGGCACACCCAAAAGTCACCAAGTGAAATGCCTGTTTCCCCACCGTGACCCCTGACAGACCCTCGGTCCCCTCCCCTGGGTGGTGGGGATGGCCAAGGTGCTCTCTGGGGACACCAGGTTTGGCCCTGAGCGCCTGGGGACCCTTTGGAGAAGGAGAGAGACAAAACCAGGTCCGGCCCCAGGTATGGGTTCTGCTGCTGATCACAGGAGGTAGAACTCTCAGGTTCGGGAGGACACCAAAGCTGAGGGAACCCAAATCTGAGCTGACAATGTGAGTGGACCAGGTTGGGCTCTGTCCAGTCCCCAGTGGACAAACCCTCCCAACACCTTGTCCCCAGAGCTCAGTGCCCAGGCTGTTGCCTTTAGTGCAGAGCTGGTGCCTGCAGCTCGTTAGTCCTCATTATTGTTAAAGCTCATTATTGCTCTCTCTTCAGGTGAATGCAGTGAAGGATTGCTGCTATTTCCCTTGCCTTTCCAGGCTGGGGAGGCCATTTAACTTCATGAAGCTATTGCTCTGCACCTTGTGTAAGCGACTGCATCGCTTCCACTGAACTCAGGTAAGATGGCAGTTATTTGTATGATTCCTTTTGCCCCTGTGGGGTAGAACAAGCTGAGAAAAGGGGGCTGCCTGTGATAGCCAGGACCCCTGAAATACACCGCATATCTAGGTACAGTGTGGTAAGTGATGTGAAAATGCTTAGACAGACAGATGGAACAGCTGACATTCAAGTGGTAAATGTACCCCAATCCTTAACTGTGTGATGTTTACATTTTACAACAGAGTGTTGAGAGGTCATTTTAGCTAGTGAGTCTGCTTGGTTACTTTTTCCACTTTCCTCAGCCCTATCAGCAGGTTGCTCCATTCCTTTTCGCATTGCCACCACTTCTGCTGAGTTTCAGGGTCACATTTGCTGGTGGGGGAAGCACTTTGAGCACCTGTTTTACTGGGTTATCCAGAGAGTCCAAGGAAAAAGCTGGTTTCACTTGTATCAGGATTCATGTGATTGTTTCCATCAGTACCCAGGTTTGTAACTTTGTGTATTTCACATCATTGATTTTGCGCTGAGCTCAGACACAGGTACGTACATAGGCACAGCGGGATGCAGGTCGCAGGGTATCTTTGCAGGCTAACCTGAAACTGCCTGATAGCTCTGCTTTTCTGCTACAAAATTCAAAATGCTGCTTGTACAGACATTTAAACGTGCTTGCGCACACATCTTTTTCACACATGTCTCTGTGTGTGTGTGACTTACAACTTTTGGCTTATCTCTAAGATTAATGAACGCATTGACTGCATGTGAGCAATGGGCAAACCTTTGAGACTGTTGGGGTCACCAGGGAAATCTCAAGAACGAGATCACACTGTTTACAATATGTCCAAAAATCGACAATGCCAGGCGACACCCCACAAGTGACGTCGTAATGAGAGACAGCTATTAGAGGCAATGTAAAACACATGCTGCTGGATGCTGCATGTCAGAGATTTATCTCAGAATTGCAGATAGCAGCCTGTTTGAAGACATAGGGATGAAAACATTCCAGGTTTCCTGGTGAAAAGCAGTGGGCACATATATTTGTAACTAGTGCCTGTTAGTAAGTTACTCGGAGAGGCTGAACCTGCATGTCCATTGGAATGCCAGGACGCAGTGCAAGAGCTGGATCTGCCATGTGGAAAGAAGCAAGGTCGAGGAGGGTCTTGTGTGTGATGTGTCCTGCCTTGCCCTGGCATGGGTGCTCTGTGGGCAGGCTGCGTGCAGGGGAAGCCTCGGGGCTGACTGCAGGTAGGTCACTGGCAAGGGACCGTAGGGGCTGGAGTTCAAGTGGGGACAGTGCAGGGGATGAAGGTTATGGTGCTGCAGGATGGGATCGATGGGCCAGGGCTGGGTAAAGGCCAAGGAGGGTCCCTGCGGTTACCCTGGTTCAGGTGCCTTGCTCAGTTTACTTCTGGGCGTGACAGTTACTGCTCAGGGAGGTTTTGGAGATGGTGCTGTCAAGGGCTGTCAGAACAAGGCTCGTGGCTGGGGCTGGCTGGTGTTACAAGGCTGGGTTAGAACCAGCGGAGGGTCAGGCCAGCAGAGGCTGTGGGTCAGTGTGACAGATGGGTGCAGAAGTTATGGGGTGGCACATAGGGCTGTGTCTTGCAAGGGCTGGACACGTGGCCCAAGGGCATAATGATGAGAGGTGACCTGAAGCTGGGGCTGACCTTAGCAGAAGCCCATGGATTCACATGAACCCTGGATCTGGCAGCATTTCCAACCCTCTTCAATCCCCTTGTAAAAGGGGATTGAGGATGTAGGATGGAGCCAGGAGGTGCCACATGGGGTATACAGAGGTTTACTGGTGACAGGCCATGCCAAGCAGAGGGCACAGCTGGACCTGGGCTGGAGCTAGTGAAGAGATGCTTACAGTGGAACACACCAAATACAGAGGTGACTCAGAGCTCAATGCAACACCATATAACTTTTAGAGCAATATGAGCTTTTAACCGAAATGCTTAAGATTGTATTAACATGTACAAAGCAAACAATATTTTTACAGTCGACCACGTTTAACCCTTTCACTTCAAAGCACATAACGAGCATCAACACTGAAGCTTCAACAAGCTCACTGAACATGGGAGAGAAGAACACTCAGTGAAACTGCTGAGGTGAGTCAAATTGGTTGGAATTAACAAGGGTAGTGTTGACCATAATGATATATTTACAGTCTGGTGATTGTTCTCTGGGAAAGAAGGAAAGGGGCTTAAAATCCTATTTAGTTTAAACTGTATTTTAACTCGGGCAGTTCTTCAGTAGTACACAGTTAATGTAGTCTGTCAAATCCCGCTGACATATTTTGGCAATAGATATTTCCTCTAATTGAAAGCAATTGTTGTGTTGTAAGTTTTCCCCCTTTCCCATTTGTTTTGCTTAACGAGTAGTGGTGGCCTGTCTACTTAGGCACGTATTGAGCAACTGCTCACTGGAAAGTTAGCATATTGCAAAGAGTGCAGCACGATCCTGCCTGACTTCATAAGGAGAAATTTCCTCCAGGCTTTGGCAGAGGATGTTTGAACAAAGCTGGTAGGCTCAGCCTTGCTGGTTGTTATTGCAGGGCTTTGCTGGTTGGGTCAGCTATGGCCTTCATGTGTGACTCCTGGGGTAAAACCAGGCTCGCTTCCAATGCAGCCATGCTTTGTTTTGAACAATCAGCATGGCCCCTGCTGTGAATCCCCACGAGGGGATGCTCTGCTTTATGTTGCCTTCACTTCCTTTCCTCAGAGCCAAATGCTGCATCCTACGCTGCTGGAACGCAGTCAAGATGCGCAGCCTGTGTGGACAAGACATGGCCAGTCCCTGTTGTGTCAGATGCTGCTGCTGCTCCAGTGGGAGCTGTCATGCTGCCCTGGGATGGGCCTATGCACTGGGGACTTGCATCCTCCCTCCACTCTACTGCAGGGAATGTGTCTGTGCTGTCCTTTTAGGACACCAGTCAGGTGCTTGGTCTCGAAACACCTTTTACCTGATGCCCTTCTGAAGCTTGAAGAGGTGGCATGTACCTCACTTCCCTTGGATTTGAGAGCAGGACTGGATGAAACCCTCCTTTACCCTGTAGTCACATCAAGTCTGATCAGCCACCAGAAACCCCTTCAGGCTGGTGCTGGCTAGGACCTGGCTGAAGAAGGGACTTTGTTCTGCCATACGTGCATGCACCCCTGCCTACCTGTGATGTCCCAAGGTCTGCATTGTTACGAGGGACAGGTGTGGTTGGGAGACAGTTGGTGTAGTGAGCTGGAGTTCAAAGGGGACTTGCTTCCTCCCTTCTCTATACCCCAGGGAATGTGTCTGTGCTGTCCCTGCAGGGCATCGGTCAGATGCTTGCTTCTTCATCTGACCACTCACCTCAGCATGTGCCGAACTTCCCGCACCACAGAGCTGGAGATTCATTTTCCCTTGCCAGCCATGGGTCCAACCCTGACCGGTGTAAAGCTGGGAGAATTGAGGGCTGAGCCCTTCCTAGGTCTCTAAGGAAAATAAAGGCAACAAGTCACCAGGGAGATCTGTGGGAAACTGGAAACCTGCTGGTTCTGTATTCCCGCTGAGGGCCTGAAACATGAAAGCTCTCCTTTCCAGCTGGGTCAAACCTCAGCACGGGCTGCAAAAGACACATGTTTTGTTGCCTTGTGATAAACCTCCTGCTCTGGAAAATCCTGCCATTATTGTGTGTCTGAACTTTTCACCAGTACCGAATCTGTCATTAACCTAGAAGGAGACCTTTTCATGCTCACATCCTCTGTCTGCACAGCTCCTCTCTGGAGGCAAATCCCTCATGGTGAGTGCGTCAGCTGGCTGCATGCTGCAGACAAGGTTATGACTGCATTACATACTCTGAGGCAGCAATGGGAAAGGTTCATCTTTGAAAGCAAAAAGGGGGAAAAAAGCATGATTTTACTCATAAAGTGCCTCGGGTCCCCATAAATCCCTCTCACCCTTGTTCAGAGCAGGGCTGGAGGCCAGCAGCAGGGTGGCAGTGGAGCATGCTGTGCCCGTGCAATTCAGCCACAGCCATTTGCAGCAGAGCTGGAGACCACAATGGAGCATGTGTTTAAACTAAGGGACATTTGGGAAGCGACCTTGCCTTAATCTTTCTGCTAAGCACCTACCAGACTCCCAGCAGCTAAATCATTAGTGGTAATGATGGTCTGGCCTTCTCCTCCATGAGCAATGCCTGCAATACAGACTGAGAGCAATAAAATAGGAATTTGGTCCACACTCATCCAAAAGTATACAGGGGATTGCTAATCAGTCTATTTCCAAGCCCTATGTTATTTCTGAGTGTCCTGAAGTGCCTCACTGAGCATTTTGCTGATGTATCCAGCTTGATGACACAAGGCACTAACAAATGACTGGATAAAGGCAGGGTGGCAGGCAGCACTGGAGAGCATCAGATGAGTGGGGTGATCAGCGAATAGCTCTTGTTAGGGCAATGATTTCTCTCTGTCCAAGTGTTTCTCGGCTCCTCCTCGGCTCTGCTTGTGTTTTCCTGGTGCATGGCTCCCCTCTGTTCAGAAACACCGCTCCAGAGAGAGAACCCTGTCCTGGATGGCTCTGGGCTGAGGCAGGGGAGTCCCAGCGGGTCTGCTCTGCTTTTGCCAGCCTCTTTCTGTCTTCTCTCAGATAACTGCTAGCTGTCTTTCTCAGCATGGGGAAAAGGCAGGAGATGGACCCCTGCTCTGATCCAGTAGAAGTACTCAATGGCCACTTTTCATCAGCCCAGGTTTCTGAGAAGGAAAGCGAGCCGCCGAAATAATTCAAAACACGTGTCTGCTAAGCATTTGCGAATGCACCTTGAGGTCTCCTGCCAACCTGCCCTGCAATCATACAGAAAATGACCCAAATAGCCCACTTAGAGGTGAAGAGTGAAGGGGAGGGAAAGAGGAGGACTGGCTGCCTTCGTCAGAGCAGAGGCACCTTGCGACCTGCTGCTGCCCTGGGGTGACTTTTCCTCTGGTGGGTGCCCAGAAGCTGGTCTGCAGTGCCTGGTTCACCGCATCTCATCTTTGCAGCGTGGCCGTGCGGGGCAGAGAGGAGCAGTGCTCCATACACCAGCCTTCCCGATGCGCTCAGCGTCACCAGCAAAGACATGGAGCACGCTGCCCTTCTCCCAGGTACCCACTCCCGAGCAGCGCCCCGCACGCCCACCCCGCAAGCAGCACCTCCCTTCCGGTGGGCGCTGAGTGCTGCCGACCCAACCCGGCCACCTCCGGCGCCGGGGTGAGCTCCCTTGCCACTGCACAGAGCCCTTTCCTGTGGGTACCTTGCAGATAAACCCCGCTAAATAAACAGATGTTTATGCTCCCTGTATTAAAGCGATTAGATCCTGGGTTTTGACAGTGTTGAATCAATATAACCTGAGTAATTGCATGAGTAACTCATGTTTCCCCTAAAGGGAAACTGTTCTCGTGTAAATATATTTATTAATAATTAAAATGTTTTTGAGTTCTTGTGCACACAGCCCCTCTCCCCCACAGAGACGTCTGAAAGGCTGTTAGCTTTAAACCTGCTGAAGAGCCAAATGGGAAGGGATTCTGGCAGGGGGCGATGGTCTATGGCAAGAGGCGTGTGGTTTAATTTTGACCTTTTTTTAAAATTCCTGAACAAAAAATGATGGTGAGATCTGTGTATGAGAGATTAAAAACCCGCCACTACTCCATTAGGAGCATTACCCTGAAATACTCATTGGCGCTTCTAACAGCTCAGATAATAGGGGTGGGGAATAATTTCTGGAAAATATTTGCTTCAAAGCATCTTACCAGAGAATTGTTTCCTAACGACAACAGCAGTAAAATCTTTGTCACATAATCCTTCAATACCACAAATATTTTGCCTTTAATTGTATCAGTGCAGATAACTGTGGGCATAGGAAATGGGAGTCAGAGCTCCTTGGGGATTTCCTCTGACAAAGCACTGGGTACTTTTGGGTAAGTCACATTTTTCTATGTTCTTTGGCCTATTTTTTTTTTTTTAACTCACTATAATCTGGAAGCTAATTTGATGTGCCTTAAAGGGCTGATTTTACATGGAAGATGCTCAGCTATCAGGGTAAGCAGCAATAAGAGATCCTAAAATAGGCAGATTAAGGGTTTGGGATCATGGAGGTTTATTTCTACGCAATTAAAGACATGATCAAGTTTAAAAATTGCTAATTTGTAGTTTAAAAACCCCAACAACCGGGAGTCCCACATTTGAACCCAGCCAGTAAGTCTATTAATTAAGGGTATGATCAGCACAGACAACGAGTGACATAGCACAAGAGCCCAGGATTTAACGCAGCGCAGGTTTTTGGTGGACATGGCGTGGCCAAGGCAGTTGTGTATTAATTAGTGATCGGAAGAGGGGGAGGAATCAGCAAGGGGGACAGGGAAATTGGCAGGTGTAGAAATGAGATTAGACAAGAGGATTTTTTCTCTCCAGAACAGAACTCGTGCAGAATCCTCATCAACCTCGCTAGCATGTTTTTGTATGGACAAAGATCCATGCCACGGGAAAAGGCACGGCAGTAAGGCACAGCAGGGGGACAGGAAGCAGGACAGTGTTCCAGGGCTTGCCTGTGGAGTGTTTCCAGGAGTCATGACCAAATACCAGGCTCAATTTCCCACCCTTATTTTAAATGCTGTTGGCTGTTTGTGGATGGCAAGGTGTCTCCAGGCTCAGCCTTTACAAGGGGACCTGTGTCATTACACAGATGTACTTCCTCAGCCGCATGATGAAATCAAGCCCGCGAGCTTCTCCTTTGCCTTCCTCCACCATGTGGGTGCTCCAGCCCAGTCTCTGCTGTTAGTGGAAACTGAGTCTTGAGACAAAGATGTTGTACCCACATCCTACCACCGCTTCACTTGGCTGCCTGCTCTGCCATTGCTTCAGCTTAAAGCATCCACACGGTACTGAAAGCACATGACCAGGGTTATCTGCTGTGTGCTGGAGCCCACCCGTGCCCCCGGTGTCCAAGGGGTCGGGTCCCTCCTGGGTGCACTCGGAGGCTACTGCTGTGCTCTCTGTTACGATAGGGTGGCAGGAGGTGAGGGCTGGTCTGGGCAAAGAGCTCAGGGCTCTTTGCTTAGTCTGTAAGGCAAGGCACCCGCTGCAGGGAGCGTGGCCCCGGGCTGTGTCCTGCGCCAGGATGAAACTCACTTTCTCTGTATCATCTCACCCTGCAGTGCTCCTCAGCCTCTCAGCGCGTTCCCCTCCATGACGAGGGAGTACGTTCCCATGCCCGCCGAGGAGGGAAGAGCTGCAGCTGATGTGAACTGACACCTTTACCCTGACAGGTGGAGCGTTCCCAAACCGAAAGGGCGTGTGGATCAGCGGCTCCGCTCTTTTGGGTGGTTCTCCCCGCGGTGGATTCCCGCAGGTGGAATTTGGGAAGATCATCGCTTCTTTATGTCTTTTTTTTTTTTTTTCTCTTTCCCTCCACAGTATAAAAAGAGCCCGTTGGAGGGCAGAGGAGATGCACGGTCCTCGGGTGAGCCGCGCTTTTGGCAGAGCTGCTCTAGGGGTGGAGCCCGGCATCGGCCGCGCTTTGCCGCCGCCCCGTTCCCTGGAGAGCTGTCGCTGTCCCCCGGGAGGGCGGCGAGGCCGGGGCGACCCTGGGGCCGAGCAGACACCCCCGACATCCCCCGCTACCTTCAAACGCGCATCCCGCTGCGAGCGCGGCCGCGCAGAGGGGACGGGACGGGCCCGGGAGCCCCCGGCGGTGTCCGTGCTGGGGGAAAGGCGGGGGGACACCCCCGGGACACCCCCTTTACGTGCTTTGCCTGTTTGCCCTTTGTACGTGCTGCCTGCTCCGGCGCTGCGGGTCTCCCCGCTCCGGCTGGCTGTGCTGTACCGCCGCTGGAAAGGTGTGTCCTGTCCCCTGTCCAGCCCACCCCCGCCCCGCCGCGCCTCCTCCCGCCGGCCCGTTCTGCGCGGAAACGCGAAGGAGGCGGTGGAAAACCCGCAGGAGGCGCGGCCGAGGCGGGGACCGCCGCCCTGCCCGGTGCTGCCCGGTGCGCGGTCAGTTCCCCGCGCTAGCACGACGGGCCCGCACCGGGACCCAGCGAGTACCGGCGAGAGGGCGGGGGTGGGCGGGCGGAGGGAGGGAGGGAGGCGCGGTCGCGATCGCGCCCCGCCGCCCCCCGCCGCGCACCCGCCGCGGCCGCCACTTCCCGCGGGCGTCGCTCGGCGGCGGGCGCTGCCTCCGCAGGAAGCGGCCCCGCGGCCCGGCCCCTCCCGCCGCTCGGCGAAGGGCTCATGCACTCTGCGGCGCGGGCGGCGGGATGGCTCCGGCTCCCGGCGCTGAGCCGCGGCCCCCTGCACTGCTGCCGCTGCTGCTACTGCTGCCGCTGCTGCTACTGCTGCCGCTGCTGCCCGGCCGCGCCGCCGGCCTGGAGGTGCAGCGCAAGTTCCTCTCGCCCACCCCCACCAACAACTTCGCCTTGGACGGCCCCGGCTCCCGCGTCTACCTGGCTGCCGTGAACCGGCTCTTCCAGCTGTCGGGGGGCGAGCTGGCGCTGGAGGCGGAGGCGGCGGTGGGACCGGTGCTGGACAGCCCGCTCTGCCACGCACCGCAACTGCCGCAGGCCTCCTGCGAGCACCCCAAGGTGCTCACCAACAACTACAACAAGATCCTGCAGCCCGATCCCGAGCAGGGCGTCCTCGTCGTCTGCGGCTCCATCTACCAGGGCCTCTGCCAGCTGCGCAGCATGGCCAACATCTCGGCGGTGGCCGTGCGCTTCCCGCCGGGCGGCAGCGACCCGGTCACCGTCTTCCCCAGCATGCTGAACGTGGCTGCCAACCACCCCAACGCCTCCACCGTGGGGCTGGTGCTGCGCCGCGGCGGCGGCGGCGGGGCGCGGCTGCTGGTGGCCGCTACCTACACCGGCTTCGGCAGCCCCTTCTTCCCCCGCAACCGCAGCTTGGAGGACCACCGCTTCGAGAACACGCCCGAAATCGCCATCCGTGCCCTCAACGCCCGCGGCGACCTGGCCAAGCTCTTCACCTTCGACATCAACCCCTCCGACGACAACATCTTCAAGATCAAGCAGGGCGCCAAGGCGCGGCACAAGCTAAGCTTCGTCCGCGCCTTCCTGCAGCGCGGGGCCGCGCCGCCCGCCCGGCGCCCCTACGCGTACCTGGCGCTCAACAGCGAGGCAAACGCGGGCGACAAGGAGAGCCCCTCGCACAGCCTCCTGGCCCGCATCTGCCTGGGCGAGGCGGCCGAGACCACCCTCAACGGCAGCGGCGAGACCAAGAAGCTGACCGAGTCCTACATCCAGCTGGGGCTGCGCTGCGGCGGCGCCAGCGACGCCTTCACCCGCCTCGTCTCCGTCTTCCCGGCGCGGGCTGCCTGGAGCAGCCCCGCGGACCCGGGCCCGGCCCCGCCGCCCCCCGAGGAGCTGCTCTTCGGTGTCTTCGAGCGGGCCGGGGCCGGCGGCGGCGGGGGGCGGCCTCAGTCCGCGCTCTGCATCTTCCGCTTCGCCGAAATCGAGGAGACGATCCGGGCTGCCCGCAACTCCTGCTTCGTCAGCCCGGCCGCCGGCATGGTCACCGTGCTGGACAGCGTGGTGCAGGGAACCGGCCCGGCCTGCGAGAAGAGGAACATACAGGTACGGGCACCTGCACGCGGGGGAAGGGGGGACGGGGCGTCCCGGGTGGGGAGACAGAGGGGGGCAGCGGCCCCATCCCGTCCTGTCCCGTCCCGTTCCTGCTGCTTCCGCGCCGCTTCCCCGGGAGGCAGCGCCTCCCGCGACCGAGTGCGCTCCGGTCCCCTACCCCGCGCTTCGCTCTCTTGGCTGCCCGCTCCGCTCTCTCCGTGCCCCGCGCCGGTCAGTGCTCGCGCGGGAGCCGTGTCACGCCGGTCACATCGTCAAAGCCGGGCGGCGGGCTCGTACGGAACACAGAACGTGTGTGTGTGTATGTATGTGTGTGTGTGTGTGTG